ACAGCATAGTCAAATGGTGTCCCTCGTATAAAATGGCAAAAATCAAGGTTTGCTCTTTGGAGCGTGTCTCTGGAGACCAGGGTTTGAGTCCCTACTCAGCCTTGGAAACCCGCTGGGTGACCTTGGGCAAGTCCCACTCTCTCAGCCTCAGAGGCAGGCCAAGGCGAACCCCCTCTGAACAAATTTGGCAAAGAAACCCCCACGATCGGTTCCCCTTAGTGTCGCCATAAGCCTTGAAGGCACGCAGCAGCAACAACAACAACAACAATACAAAGGCCCTGTACCGTTTTGAAGGGGAATTCCTAGAGGTTTCCAGGATTGGAAATTCTACATTTTTTTTCCTAGGGAGCTATTAGGATGAGAGCTGGAGTTCATTGTAAGTGACTTGTAACTAGTTCCTTCCAGTCTTGGATCTGGAGACACCCCAAGAGATGAGAGAGCAGAGTTTTGCCTTGGCGGACTTGTGGACACAGCAAGAGGAACTGTCCAAAGCACAGCCACCTGTTTCCTAGCGGGAAGAGTTCATCTGAGGTTGGAAAGCTTGTACTGGGCCTAATACATTGTGGGAGTCTCCCAGGTCATTGTCCATTTGGAGGGATCTGGAAACAGACTGGCCAGCTGAGCTATTGAAAGCAAGCCAAAGATCGGAGGAGCCCAAGCTTTTGGGAGTACGGGGTGACACTTGCTGAAGCCAACAGGTGCCTGCTGGCTGAGCGTAGCGGCTTTGGGCTCAGGGACAGAGCCAAGAGCAAAATAATCTCTCCCATTGATTCTGGCCTTTTGTCATGATATATCCTGGCAGTCCTGAGAAGTAAGTCCCTTGAGACCTGGCAACGCCAAAGGCGGGGAAATCCTATACACACAGACAACTAGCCAGTCAGGACAAATGCTTTGTTTGGACCCCGTTAATCCTGACATGCCATTTTTCTACAGGACAGGGAGGTTGTTGTGTAATATGGAGCAGTGGTTGCCCACATAGAAATGATGAAATCTTTTTGCCAATGAATCTCCCACCGCTAGTCCATAGTGATTTCTGCTATGTGATTCCCAGTGACTCCAGTGCGGGTCGTGTTCCTGGTGTTATATTAATAAACATTAATATAAAGTGGTGGCTCATCCACCTGTTAATTTCCTGACAGATCAGAGCTTAAGAAATACTGAAGAGGAGATATGGATATTGATCACATTAGTGGACAAGACTGGGCTTTGCAACCTTGGAAGCTTAGGTGACCAATAAGGCAAATTCCTTGGCAGTCAAAGTGGTGTCAAACGGCATTATTTCTACGGTGTAAATGCCCCCTGAGATGCCAATGAGATGCTGGCCCTGAAGTGGGACTTTCCAATAGGGTGTTGTAACCCATAAGGGCTAAAAAAAACAAAAAACCTCTGTCTCTTGGAAGGAAAACCAAGCGTTGGCATTTCTGCTGCGTGGACTGGCCCTTGCACTCTGCCTGCATGCCAGCCATATGCCATTGTGCCACCGCCTTGGTCCTAAGGCCCTCCTTCGTCCTGGCGGCGTTCCTATCTGTCACAGCTCATTTGGTCAGAAGAGCTGCAGCCAGGCAGAAGCTTTTCTCTCCTCCTGGCACTGGCTTTGCGTTGGCTGCCGAGGAGGAGAAGGCTGAGCTGACGCAAGGTGGCACATCCCCATCCCTCCACCTCCAGAGAAGCCTGGTGCCTCTGCACAAAGCGCTGACGGTGCCCGATGCTGCTCTTCCGCTTCTGCCAAGCAGCTCAGAAGGCTGTTGATTAATTGCCCTAATTACAGTAATTAATCGGTTTGGACAAATAGGCAAGGGGAGCCTCTTTGCGGGAAGGTTTCTGCTAAGCCATACCGGGAACCCAAGCTGGGTGAAAGGCCTAGAAAACATAAAGGAA